TATTTTTATATTGTACTTAGATATTATCATTAGTATTGTTATTATCGTTTATGTTTTATCATTAATTAATACCTACATTATTATTGTTACTTTTTGTCACGTTAAAGTAGATGATAAAGACAGTCCTTGAGCTTATTAAAGGCTTTGCGGAGATTCGTACATCGATCTAACATTTCCGCTGTAAAAATATTTTTTTTTTCTTTTAAGGAAAAATTAAATTTTAAAATAATATAAGAATGATAAGAATGATAATATACGATGATATCGAATACGAATAATGTCGATAGAAGGAGTAGTGATGACGATAATAGTAGAAACAACGAAGTAGCAGCGATGAAAGCATTATAGTGGGATATTAATGATAACGCGATTACTAGTATAACAATATTAGGTAAGACTAATATATAATCGTACTAATAGGAGTAATAATAATAGAAATGACGATGGTACTGGTTATAATCGTAAAAGTATTATTTTTAATATCATTCATAGTAGAAACAATAGTAACATTTACGTAGTAATAGATTGGTGATGATGGTGGAAGTACACGCGTAGTGATTTCATTAATATTAATGATAATGGTGTGAATATGAAAACGATCACGATGGTACGAAGAAATATCAATGACAAGGAAAATAGCCGATATCTATTAGAAACGGCAATGATAATGATGACGAAAATGACAATAGTCAATAATAATGGCATTGGCATAGATGATAATATTAATAATTACAAGTAGCGGTGATGATACAGCAAGAGCAGTAACAACGAAAAATAGCGGTAATAATGATTTTTTTGGATAGAGATAATGATAACGGTATTTAGCTTTAGAAGTGATTAACGTTTAAAAAGAAAAGAAGAAGAAGAAGGAGAGAAAAAAGAGTTATATAAGGAATAAATAATTGTTCAAATAATTTTTGTCGAAGAGAAAACGAAGGGAAAAAGTAAAATATTCGTAATCGATATTGGAAATATGCTCGCTTAAAGTTGCTTTAAATCTTATTATTTTGGACGCAAGTTTTTTTTTTTACTTCTTTTTTTCCGCTTTTATTATAATCAGGCAATCTGCGAAATGGAGAAATATTTTGTTTTTCTTTCGTCCCTTTCTTCTTTTTCGACGGATGTATGCGCACGTTCACACACACATACATACATACACACACACACATACACCTCTCTCTCTCTCT